GCCCTTTCTGGTCGTAAGGTCGTTTTTGGCGTCTACGAAGACGATTGCTGTCATCCTGCATTCCTGTTGCTGAAGCTGGCACTGGCCGGCGGCCGCCGTATATTGCTGCTTAGTAGATGAAAGCATCACGCATGTGCAAACATAGCGGAGACTTGCGTGTTCTATAGTAAAAAAAACGGTCATGACATGAAGACTTCAAAGATCGCTGCCGCCTGACGGTGCGGTGATAGCGGCCTAGTTTGGACTTCTCTTTTCTTTCCTTACCTTGGACTCTTCTCTTGGGCAGTTTTAGCTGAGGGCTTAGTTCGGTTAATCTCCGATCCGAGAGAGGATTGAAGAGAATTTGAGAAAGATTTGGACTTATAAAGAATTGAATGTTTTCCAGAATTTATTTGGATATACACTCCAATCCACATGCATCGAGGGAAACTACGGTGTGGCTAGCGTCCGGACGGACGCGCGTGTCCGGCGCCCGCACAGCCCGCCCTCGTCCACCTTCGCCAAACCCTACTCGCGCACTCCGCCCCCATCTCTGCACCCGCCGGTCCTTCCCCTGACCCCTCCTCTCTCTCTCTCCGCGCGGGCGGCACACGGGAGCCGGGATGAGCGGCTGAGGACAAGCACGCCCCGACCACAGCACCCCATCCGCTGGCCCCTAGTGCCCCTGTCCACCGGACCTTGGCTCATCCCAGGCCGAACAAATATAAAACACTTGTAACATGAAAAAATCATTTGAATGTAACATACGTATGAAACACAAAGTTAAAACATTTAGAACATGCACCTCCAACGTGTGTGTGAAACACATCAAACATCCAAATAAAACACTTGCAACTTGTAACATGAAACCACTTGCTGCAACATAAAACTAAAACAGCTGAAACATTTGAAACATACTATTACAACATAAGTGTGAAACATATGCGACATACAGATAAAAAACAATTGCAACATACGTCTGAAAACATATGAAACATTTTGAACAAACGCTTGCAACATGCCTCTAAAACACTTACAATATATGCAACATGTGCAACATCCCCTGATCTAGGGGTGAAGCTATGTCATTGTTAGGGTGTGCAAATGCACCCCCCAAAAAATTATTAAAATTTCACCATATATGAACCCCCTACGACACATTTATATGCACCCACAAGGCAAGTGCACCCCCTCTAGCTTCGTCACTATCCAATCTACTTTTGCAATATCAAGATGAAATAATTGCAACATACATCTAAAACGTCTAAAACAACTGAAACATATGTATGCAACATAGGGGAGGGGAAGAACAAAAGGTAGTCGATTCCGGCAGTCGGGGTGGGAGCCGACAGGAAGCCACAGTGTGTGAGCACCACTAGCACCGGTCGCGCTCGTGGGTGCCCTTGGCTCGGACAGGGAAGGCATGAGGCACCACGACATGTGCGCCCTAGCGGCCATGGCGGGTTCAACAGCGCGCGCATGATGATGGGATGGGGACCCGACGAAAGGGCGGGAGACGGTAGAAGCGAGCAGCGGTGGTGATCGGGCATGGTAGGCGGAGTGCAGGCGCGGATGTGCGTCCATGTGCTCACGCCAAGACGTGCTAACGAGCAGATAAGCGCAGTGGATATATTTGTTAGAGAGAACGGATGAGTCGATGAGGATGAGCCGCATTCGGACGGAACGGACGCCCGTGACCAAGCATTATCTGGAAAACTAAGGTGAAAATTTAGTTAGTTTTCTACCTCAATGCCACTTAACCTACGTGGATTGTGGTGGGTTATAGTGTATTTAAATAAACCCTCTTGCTAACCACGCCAAGACGTGCGAACGAGCGAATAAGCATGCCCGGGGATATATTTGTTAGAGAGAACGGATGAGTCGATGAGGATGAGCCGCATCCGGATGGAACGAACGTCCGTGATCAAGCATTATCTAAAAAACTAAGGTGAAAATTTTGTTAGTTTTCTACCTCAATGCCACATAACCTACGTGGATTGTGGTGGGTTAGAGTGTATTTAAACAAACCCTCTTTAGATTGGAGCTAACCTAACATGTCCTAAGACAAAAACAACTCAATAGATTTTCTCAAATCAAAGAAAAACGCTTGCAAAACGGCGCATATGCAAAATCTCCAGATCTACTTGACGTTTTGGGAAAAGAACGCTCGAAACTTCCAATATTAAGTCATCAAGGAATCGATGCATAAGCGATATCACCGATTCTGCGCATCTGGATCGGCTCATCAGCAGATAACGCCTTTACGGCCCCGTGTCCACTTAAAAAGAGTGCACTCCAAGTTATCTTAAATTAGCTCTTAATACAAAAGTTGTAATGAATCCCTTGAGTAGGATTCATGCTTAGACTCTGGTCCCCACCCCCAATCCTCTCTCTCTCTCTCTCTAACTCTCCGATCTCGACGAGTTCTTCAACCAAATAGGGTGCATGTGCAACCTGTAGCTTGCCGGGATGAGCATGGCTTATACTTACTTTTTGTAAGAATCGAATCGCGAGCACGCCTCAAAGACGCCTAGTTCAAAATGTACGGTCGCATCGGTTAAGTTCGACCTCCACCGCTTTCGAATTAGATTATGGTCAAGCACCTCTTCCTAAGTGTGGCATCCTTCGGTAGATTCCCCGATCTTGTGATGTTCTTATTGTCATTAGTTTCACAATATTAATTTGCCCGATCAAGATCAATCGATCGGCCCCCCATCACTCACCCTACTTTAAACGCACGGAATGTTTTGTCGGCCACACTTGCAACATAAGACTAAAAACAGATGAAACATTTAGAATATGCACCTGCAACATGTGTGTGAAAACACATGAAACATCCAAATAAAACACTTGTAACTTGAAACCACTTGCTGCAACATAGACTAAAACCGTTTAAACATTTGGAACATACTGTTGCAAAATGTGTGTGAAACATATGCAACATCCACATAAAAAACGATTGCAATACGACTGGAAAACAGATGAAACATTTTGAATAAACGCTTGCAACATGACTCTAAAACACTTGCAACATATGCAACATGTGCAAAATCTGCAAATCAACTTTTGCAACATCAAGATAAAACAATCGCAACATATATCTGAAACGTCTGAAACACTTGAAACATACATATGCAACGTATGAGAGGGCGGCAAGGAACCGGGCGGGCATGTTCCACCTTAAATTATTGATTCTCTTCTTGTCATCGGGGTGGGCAGCTCGAATTCGGTGAGCCGTATAGCCTATGAAAGCACCATCTCAAAGACCTCCATCACGCCTTGGGGTGTCCTTGGCTTGGGTGGGGAAGACTTGAGGCACCACGATAAAACGCCGCGTATCTCATATGCAACATATGGGAGGGAAGCCGGGCCGGTGGGGTTAGGGGTGGGGCGTGGTGACGACGGATGGACGCCATGGTGCCTTACTTGGACGACGAGGAGCGAGTGGCGGGTCAGTGTGCTGGGGATGGGCAGTGAGCAGCGCGGAGCAGTGACTAGGACGCGAGCAGCGCGGCGCGCGGCGGAGCGCCGTGATGGGGAGGACACATCACGGCAGCTCGACTAGCACACGGTGGGGGAAGAGGGCAGATAGATGAGCGGCCACACTGCTTCTGGCCGATAAGCATTTGAGGGGGTAGGGGTTTTTGTTTTTTTGTTTCTAAGATGAGAGAGATGGGGCCGCTCCTGTGGAGCTGCTTCTGGACGGAAGTCATGGACGGACCGTGTTGGATCATTATTGAACAAAAAAAAACAGCTCCATGGACCTTGTGCTAAATAAAGAAGTAATGGGTTCCGTGGTTGGGTAGGGGCACTCCTAGTCCTAGGCTGGACAAAGCTTGGGGGCCAGTAAAGGGCGTGTCTGTAACAGGTCATTCGAGGCCCAGATCATCTGGATGGCCCAGACATTTGATGTCCCTGGACATGCGGCTGGCCACCCACATTTTTTGTTGGGCCAGGTTGGCCTGCTTCCAAAGAGTCAGCAACTGAGCGGCAGTGGAAGCCGTGCCAAGCGGCGCACGGGCGCAGTAGATGTGCGCATCATCCTCTCCAGCATTCGTGTAAGCTGTTTGCCTTCTCCAGCATTCGTGTAAGCTGTCACTCATCTATCTATTTTGTTTAGCTGTTGCTGCCTCTCGCCTACTTGCCACCGCGTACACCCCCTCCCCGCGGTTACTGGTGCCTGTGTGTTTCTTCGTGCTGGTACTCCAGGCTTGTGAATGACTAATTGCCGTTTTCTGCACAGAAGAATCCTATCTCAACTCCCGGAAGGCAGACGAACGAGATTGTGACAACCAGTAAGTGCTGCCACTACTGCAAATCGATTCCAAGCCCACACAACCATGTGAGCCCCCAACCTGATCAAGCACCCTGACTGAAAAGAAAATTCCAGATAGAGTATCCTGTCAGAAAAGAAAACGCCCGATCAAGTACATTAGTACACTCTGGCGCGAATATAGAGCCGACACGAGCAATTAAGCACCGCACTTGCTCCCCCGTAGGCCGTAACCGAGAGCGCAAAAACTAATAGCCGACAAAGACCGATCTTCCCAGCCACCGGCGCGAGCGCTCCGCCTCCGCCACGTATGTACGCTCACTGCCCGAACGGCCGATCGATCGGGGGAACAGGCTACAGAGGAATCCTTCAGTTCCAACGGCCAGGCAAGCCGCAGCAGGGGCGCCACGTTACCACACGCGGTCGAGAGGGTTACCACCCCAGATGGAGCCTGCCGGCTGCCACTGCCACATTCGAGTCATGGGGGGCCATGGCCTTCTCTCGCGCGCGTTCCGCGGCGCCCGATCGCTCGGAGGTGTACTCCGTTGCGCGAGCCGTGGACGCATGCATGCAGATGCAGGGCGCCGGCCTCGCCTATAAGTGAAACGGCATCGGTGTCCGGTTGAGCTCGTCCCGGGTCAGCACCCGCTCTAGAGTTTATACTAGTTTCCAAGCTCCCGAGGTGTAGGAAAACAGAGCTGAGTGGCCTACGTACGAGGTTATTACGAGGGGGAGGGGGTAACCGGAGATGGTGATCGATAAGCGGAGCGTGCGCCGCGCCGCGCTGGTCCTGCTGCTGGTCTGCGTCGCGGCGGCGCGGGCTGTCTCGGCCGTCGGCGATGGTGAGAGCCCCTCAACTGAAGCTGCATTATTACTTGTTCCTCGCTGCATGACTGATCAGCACGTGAACGTAGCGGCATTGTATTGCTGTTGTTCTTGCCGGTGGCAACTGCCGAGCTCTGGTAGCTGCGCTAGCACGAGGCCTTCTTTAGTTGCCATATCTTCTAGCTAACACTGGCATTATGTTAGGATGTGGTTAGCTGTTCGATCATTGTTGCTCATATAGTGATATTGTCACTGATCTTTTAAGTTGTTTATTAGTACTTTAGTGAAAGTAGCCGCACAAAATATGGTGCAACTAGTGTCGGTTTAAACTAGACAAGAATTTTCGTGGCCATTATATTGTTATGGGTATTAGAATTTAGAACTTAGAAAAAGCTTCAGGCATGACAAAAAACTGCCTCTTCCTCAGGGAAATACAAATGTCTTGGTCTTGCAAGAAATTTTTCGTGTTACATTGACAATTCGGTTATAGTGCTGCCATCAGGTGACGATAATAAGGTTCAAATTAGAGTTACAAAGGAGAGAAATGGGCTGTGCATGAAACATTTCTTTTTTTAAGCAGCAAATTAATTAACACACGATAGACAAGAAAACGTTGCGCCATATACATTCGCATTATTTGATAAATTAGTATCTTCTTGCTTCGGTTCATGTGAGCTGAAGTGTCAGTTATTAAAAAAAACTAACGTGTTGACTTGTCAGTTAATGTTCCCAAAGAAATCAGGGTTCTGCTGTCTCACGTGCTTAGGAATATGTATGTCGGAGAAGCAGAACGTTCTGTTTGACTAGCACTCGTATTTTACAAAAACAGAATCTCATCGTTCATGATCTGGTTGCCTCCTTATCTTGTACGGTCTGCAAACGGTTCGTGATGGGAGGGGATGGGTCGATGGGGTTTTTGTTTGAGGTCATCACCGCATGCTTGCAGCTGCATTGTTTGGCTTGCTCAAACTTTTACTGTTTTCTGCCGATATGCTTGCTGATGCCGAATCATGCTTGGGACAATGCATGTTAACCTACATGAAGTCATCAACATGTAGACTGTATGTAATCAGCATATGAATCACAAACTGGTTCATCTTCATCATAACCGTGTTAGTTACTTGCATTCTTGCATCTCTGATGAGACTCTGACTCAGCATGCCATGCCACCGTGCTGCGCAGGTCCTCTGTTGAACGGCAACTTCGAGGACCCGCCGAACCAGTCCCAGATGAGCGGCTCGGTGGTGACCGGGGAGCACGCGATCCCCTACTGGAAGACGTCCGGTCACATCGAGCTCATCTGCTCCGGCCAGAAGCAGGGGGACATGGTCCTGACGGTGCCGGACCGCACGCGCGCCTTGTGGCTGGGCAACGGCGCCTCCATCGAGCAGCAGATCAGCCTCACGCCGGGCTTGTACTACTCCCTCACGTTCAGCGCGTCGCGCACCTGCTCCCAGGACGAGATGCTCAACGTGACGGCCGCCCCCGTGTCCGGCTCCGGCGGCTCCCTGGCCCAGACCGGCGAGCTCCCCGTCCAGACGGTGTACACCAGCAGCGGCTGGGACTCCTACTCCTGGGCCTTCAAGGCGGAGGCCGGCCTCGTGTCCATCATCATCACCCACAACTGCGGAGAACAGGAAGATCCCGCGTGCGGCCCCATCGTCGACGCCTTCGCCATCAAGACGCTCAGCCAGCCTGAGGCCACGGGAGATAACATGCTGAGGAACGGGGACTTCGAGGAGGGCCCGTACATCCCGCCGGAGTCGCCGTGGGGAGTGATGGTGCCGCCGATGGACGAGGACCACGTGTCCCCGCTGCCAGGGTGGAAGATCATGTCGTACAAGAAGTCCGTCAAGTACGTGGACTCGGCGCACTTCGCGGTGCCGCGCGGCGCGTGCGCCGTGGAGCTGGTGTCCGGTGTGGAGACCGCGCTGCTGCAGGAGGTGTACACCACCGTGGAAGGGAGCTGGTACAGGCTGGAGTTCTCGGCCGGGGACGCCGCCAACGGGTGCGCGTCGCCGTCGTATGACGATGGTTCCTCGTCGCCCGGGATGAAGGTGAAGGCGTACGCGGGGCCGAGTGAAACCACCGTGGACATCGATTTCCGCGGCGCCGGCGGTTCCAAGCGCGGGAAGATCGAGTTCAGGGCCACCGCGAGCCCCACCAGGGTGGTGCTCCTCAGCTTGGGCTACCACACCAAGTCCGACAACAGCGGCACGCTCTGCGGGCCCGTCGTAGACGACGTCTCGCTCGTCCCCATACCGCAGCCGTATGCTCGCCGGCTGCTTCTCTAGGCGTAACACAAAAAATTGCTTTACGCCCGGCTATACTCATGCTGCTTGGGTAATAAATGGAGAGTGTGACTGTGCTGGTTCACTAGTCCATTTCGGCTTACCTTTTGTACTAGTATATTTATTCGTGTTCCCTTTTTTTTCTTGGTTCATTACTGTGCGGTTAATTGAGAAAACAAAATGCGTACACTGAATTAAGTCCCTTTCATTAAAAAAAAAAAAAAAATGGTTTAATAATTGACTAAAAATCCAAACTCACTTTTCCATGGTCCTATGTGCCGGCATGCTGCTATCCCACTCCCACTGCATGGATTAAAGCAATATAGGGAATTTCCGGTCAAAGTGAGGCTAGCGTAGTTGCACGTGTTCCTGCTAGCCAGCTACTCCCTCCATTCAAAATTATAAGTTATTTTAAATTTTATAGACATTGATTTTGCTATGTATTTAGACATACATTATATTTAGATAAATAACAAAATCGATGCACTAAAAAATCAAAGCGATTTATAATTTGGAATTGAGAGAGTACAAGGGTACTTCTCCATCTAAAAAAATTGTCATTTAACTTTTATCCTACAAAGTGTGTCACTATAGGCAAACATATTGGATCCTACCTAGGTGCTTTTTACCCTAACCACTAAAAAACACTATAGGCTAACTTTTTGTAAGCTATTTGGTCATTTACCAATTACATTGGTATCTCCCCTAACTTATAAAATGACTCTCACCGTGAAACAAAAGGAGTTTGGTAGAATATCAGTCGCTAATCAACCTACTATTCTTTCTAGGCCTGGTAATGGGTTGGGTTTAGATATACACTAGCTGAGTGGGAATGAGTTCATATTTTCAATGGGTTGGGTTGAATTTAATATAAAATTAGGTTGTATTGCCATGTTGGGTTCTTTTTTGGGGGTTTTTTTATGGGTTAAGCTAATAGAAATTTGGGTTTGACTGGATTCCACTTTTCTGGATTTAAATGGATTGAGCCCATGGCTTGATGTTTTGTTCCATATTTTGTATAGGTACATATGTCTGTTGGTCCGAGACGGGTTGAGTGTATTAAATGGTGTAGCCATTAGGTTAATTTGTTGTTGTATCCACATGTTCAACTAGAGGTGATAACTGGCATGATATATCTTCTTATTTAATTAAATAATAAATTTAAGTGAATTTTGCTAAAATTTTCAACAAAGTAAACTTCTAGTTCTATGGTGTGGCTTTCGATGTGGGGCCTATATGTTGTTCTTGGCTTGCAAATTGGCACATTGTAGCTTTGTCATTTAGCTTTGAATCTAAAACTTTAAGGTGTAAACATGAGTTTTTAGTTCTGGGGCTTCGGCTTTTGACGTGAGACGACCTACATGCAGATCTTGTTACATTAATTGATATGAAGTAGATCCGAGGACGAAAAAAACTAGGGTTTTTAGGTTACAAAATTGTGCCCACAAACATCCATGGCCACGCTGACAATGTTTTGGCCTAGGCTTGGGCCTGGGTTGGTCGCCCACTACTTTTTGGTGTGAAAATAACTAAACTAAATAAATCGGGCCAGGTTTAGGTCTTTTTCTTTTGCATTTCATTGTCCAGTCTCTGTCCACAGATAGTAGCAAGTTGAGCCAAGAATGACGGGCTCAAGCTGGGCAAAAATGCTATGTCTAGCACAAAATAGCTTCATGTTACATTGAATCATATCCAATAAGCTTCGGTCAATTTTGTAAAAACTTTAGGTGTGAACACGAGATCCTAGTTCTAGATCCAGCTTTGATGTGGGGCTCACATGTTGATCATGCAGTGCAATTGACTCGAAGTAGCTCCCTGATGTATTATAACAAATTTTAGTTAATTTTATTAAAAATTAAGGTGTAAATGCAAAACTTTAGTTTTAGGATCTGGCTTTTGAGGTTGATCCGCATACACAAATTCATGAGTTTTACTAGTTGATAGGTTGGATTGAGTTGAGTTAAAACAATAAAATTTTGGGTGGATAAAAGTGTGAATTTACTGTGGGCTGAATTGGATGGTAAGTTTTAACCCATTTTAGCAGTGCTAATACTTCCGAACTCGAGGCTGTGATTAGCAGCGCAAATAACTGGCGGCGCGTCGAGCAGTCTGCACTTCGCCGGCAAGGCCGGCGCCTTGGGATTACCCCGAGCTCTGAAATGGCCATAAATAACTCCGTGATTCTGGACGGCCATGTGAGCACGCGGAGTATGAAGCACGCCGTCCCCAGTCACCACCCGGCTGAGGAGATCGAACGGCTATTCCTTTCAGACACCGCGCTTCAGGTGTCAGGACCGCCGACGATGCCCTGCGAACCACCTCGTTCGTGGAAGCCCCCGCGGATCCGGCGCACGTTTCGCTCTGTCGGCCTGATGAAGACGCGCCTTGGCCAACTTGGCTGCCATGATTGACGGTTCCAACGACGAGACAGACAACCGAAAGCCTGTTCGGTTGGTTGGTTCATATCGTTGCTGATTCGTGAAGAAGTACTGCTGGCTGGTTTGTGTGAGAGAAAAATACTGTTCTGGTTGGAAATTTACGATCGTTTACGACAAGCCACAGCCAAACGAACAGCCTGAGTTCTCGACGCCGCACGTCCCCCTATAAGTGCAAAACTGCAAAGTAGCCTGTAGCCATAGCCACGAACCACTGTGTGTAAGTTTGTTCATAGGTTCCTGACGTATCTGAGTAGCATTCGAGCGTGTACGTTGTTTCTTTGAGTCGGAGAAGGTAGACGATGGGAAGGGGAAGCGAGACAGTGCCGAGCGCACGTCGAGCTGTGCTGTTGTTCATCGTCTGTTTGGCGGCTCGATCGGCTTCGGCAATCCAGGATGGTGAGAACTCTCTTCATGCTGTAAACTACTAGGATGTCTCTGAGCAGAGCTATTGATACTCACTCGCAGTGATGTGCCGTGATTTTGTACTCAGTAAAAATAGAAAGTTGTGAAAATATTTTTATCCTAGAAAAGAAACGTTGCGGGTCTGGTTCATGTTCGTTGTTTAGAAACCAACGAACATTCGCAAAATATTATACATATAAAAGTTACGTGCATAACTTTACAACTTTCTAAAAAAGTTATGGTGATAAATTTTGTTCCGCAAAATATTATACATAAAAGTTTGTCACGTATTAAGTTATACGTCTAAGTTATGCATATAACTTTGTAACTTTCAAAAAAGTTATCAAGTGTCTATTCACTATCCTATTATGAACTATAATTTTATTTGCTTGTTACATGTGAAATGCATATAAAACACTATTGTGATCGATCTCTTGCACACGGAGTCAATATTGGTGGCGATAGAACGACAAAACTGAAGAAATATATTTCCTTATGAAAACTTTTGTAATTTTTGTGAGACATAGCAACTCGTGTGCACTTAACTAGTTTTAAAAAAGAGAATAGCTAAACAATACTCGGTTGTTTAGCCCCCTCTCGGCACTTGATTTTCTCTTCCTCTCATTCTTTTCTCCGACTTCTCCCCCTCTTCGGGGCTGGCCAGGGAAGGTAGGCCAGCTAGACGGTGGTCGGGCGGTTAGGGGCCCTGACGGTGGTAGAGGCGGCCGGGCCAGATCGGGATGGGGGTGCCATTGCCAGAGCTCGTCGCGGAAGCCGCCATCCCCATCTTACTGTGCTAGGGTTTCGTCGGAGCTCGGCCGCGGAGCTCTAGCAAAACCCTAGCACGGCCGTGGCGGAGCGGCGGGCGGTGGCGGGGGGTGAGGAAGAAGATGAAAAGTGAAGGAAGGAAAATCGAGCGTGGAACACTCAAGTGCTGGCTAGACAACTTCTTAAAAAATGGCTCTGCATTGACCACTCAGGACTGTTGGGATTTGGCCATTTGGTAACCCCGGAGCTCTTAAATGGCCATTTGGTAACCCCAAAGCTTTTAAATGGCCATTCACCGTTACTCTTATCTACAAACTAAAACTACTACTACTATGGTGGCCAGGTCCATGTGAGCAGACGCAAACGCAGACGCAGGCTTTAGCCGCGCCATCCCCAGTCACCACCCGTCCAGTGAGCGCACCACCGAACCGCACCTCTGATCGGAAGGATGCCCTGCTATCCACCGCGATCGGGCGCGGGCTTCGTTCAGCCTCGTCAAGACGCACAGGGCAATTTGGCCAATCCCTAATCCTGTCTCGAGACACACTTCACGAGCACGTCTACTCTATAACTATGGCTTGTGTCACCGCACTGTACCTGTACTGGAGTATGTAGATTTCGCATTGGTTCTTCCACTCCATCCGACGACGACAGCACCTGTTTCGCCGGAGAAGACAGCTGCTGATGAGAGGGGGAAGGGATATGGTGCAGAAGCAGAACGCTCCCCACGCTGCGCTGTTCTTGCTCGTCGCCTTGGTTGCCCGAGCAGCTTCGGCCATCCCGGACGGTGAGACCTTGGAAACTATGTTAGACTATGTCTTTCGAAAACTCTTTTTCAGCTTTTGATAAACAAATAGGATGTCTCATGAGTAGTGTGATCGATTTCTGAGGACGCCAGTTTTGCTCATGGCAGGCACGTGACGCCCCCGTCTCGTGCTGTGTCACACTCGATCGAATGAGTCCTGAACAATGCTAGTATGCTGCCTGCTGCTCTGCTCTCAGGCCTGCTGCCGAACGGCAACTTCGAGGAGGCGCCGGCGAAATCGCAGCTCAACGGCACGCGGGTGACGGAGCGCTACGCGATCCCGCGCTGGGAGATCTCCGGGTTCGTGGAGTACATCGGGCCCGACCAGAAGCAGGGGGACATGATCCTCCCGGTGCCGGAGGGCGCCTACGCCGTGCGGCTGGGGAACGAGGCCTTCATCCAGCAGCGGCTCGCCGTGACGCGGGGCGCGCGCTACTCCGTCACCTTCAGCGCGGCGCGCACCTGCCCCCAGGCCGAGGAGCTCAACGTGACGGTCGCCCCCGAGTCGGACATACTCCCCAGTCCCCATCCAGACGGTCTACACGAGCAGTGGCTGGGACTCCTACTCCTGGGCCTTCAAGGCCAGGCAC